GGGGGGGGGGTAAGAAAGTGTTTTGCGAGGGCAGAGCAAGCACAGAACTGCTTTGTGATCATAGCACAGGCTACTCTCTCCACACTTCATCCCTACTCAAAAAACAAAGGCAAGGAAAAATGTACTCCTTTTTTTCCTGCAAATAACTCAGAGATGCACGAGGCATCACCAGCAGAAGCTGGCAGGGATCCCACACTCCGAGTCTTTTACAACCAAAAGAGCTTAGCAATTAGCAAAATAACAAAAAAATGTCAAATGCATTTCTGATGCTCTGAAGTTGCTGAGATGTTAAACAAACAGTCTGGGCTGCTCCCACACACCGAGAGGTCTGTGCACCAGCAACGTAGCAACAGCACCACCGTATGGGGGTTTCCAGCCCCTACAGCCCTCAGAATCTTGTCCATCTAGTTTGCTCGGCAGGCAAGATTAGCACCATGGTGGGATTAATTTTCAGCAATACATTGATTTCATGGTTGTCAGCAAGAGCGTGTGTGAAGTGAAGGCGAACTTTTTCTCCAGGGCTGGTCAGGCTAGCTCCTGAAATCTGAAATGCCGAATGGGAATAGCTGGATGTTTGGGCCTGTGCCTAGACCCCTGTAGAAATTCTCAAGGTCAAACAGGCTCCTTGCTCATTAAACCTTTATAACGCTCTCTGGTCGCATTTTTTGGCGCCCACAGGTCTCAAAACGCTTCCCTTGTGATGCAGGAGTCATGAGCCCTGTTTGCCATCAGAGGACGAAGAGGCACAAAGAAGGGAAGGCATGTGCCAAAGGTCCCTCAGCAGCCCAGTGACAGAGTCCCCCAGACTTTCTGTCTTTGCCCAATGTTCTACACTACATGACAGCTCCTGTCTCTGTTGCTAGACTCTGGAGGAGGTCTCAGGCAGCCTAGGCTTGCCTCCACGTGCTCTGGAGCTTACTTGGACAGTAAACCTAGATGTAAATCCTAGATGTAGTGTGAACTAGACCATGACATGAAAAAGTGCCAAGCATCTACAGATGTAGCAGCTGGAGC